ATATGGCACAGAATAATTAAGTTGTTGAATAAAAGAAATTAACTATAACAAAGTAAAAGAATGCAATGAAAATAGTATCAGCTGACTTGTATAGGTACGATATGCCAAGAGCTATCGTAATGGCTCCACAAATATTAATTTATTTATGAATCAACACAAACTTTACTGTAAGAACTGTTACCATGGTAATTTTACAAGTTAAGAAACTGAAGCACAAAAGATGAACTAAGTTGCCCATTGCCAAGGAGTTAAAACCTAGGCAGCCCAGCCGGAGAGATTCTTTCCTTACTAGATTATAAATACAGTGCCAGGCCTATAGGAGAGGCCACTGAGCTACCCCTGGCATAAATACCCACAACACCTCTTTTCCTGCAGACAGCCAACACTTCACGGAAGGGCTGCAAAGTGTGGAACAGTGCTGCTCAGAACATCTTGTATTACTTCACTGAATACTTCAAGTTATTAACTCCATTTAGCAGACCAGATAAATGAGGTACAGAGAGGTTATTCAACTTGTCCAAGGATACATATAAGGCCAGGAACTGTGTTAGTGAGAATCCAACTAACCTCTGAATACATGCCATGATTTCCTGGCCCTCCCCATACTTCATTAATATGTTATTTAGTTTTATCTCAATTATCAAAATCACATGACACATTTATGTGACTCCAACTATACAGACACAGAAACAATGCAAGCCAGTAAAAAACAGCTAAATTTAGGGAGTAAAATCTGGTGGGTGACCCATTCGTGACCTGTCAAAGTGCAGAAACTCGCAAAAGTAGTGGAAAGGGATAGGCTGTACACACCCCTGAGAAGGCAGCAGCTCACCATGCTACTGAAACTTTAATTCATCAATACCTTAACGCATTTTCAAAGCTAATATTGGTTATAAAAATATTTTGAGTTATGAAACCATGTTTTGAGCCCCACCACTCCACTGTGTGCGTGGAGGGCTACTGTGAACTAGCAATGAACAGGGGTTACAAGCAGGAGTGAAAGGCAGGACACAGCCTGGTTCTTCTTTGGCCCACCTTGGAGAGAGGCATGAACACAGGGTACAATGCTGAAGGTGGAGAAAACAGCACTACGGTCTCATTTTGATAGTGAACACAGGAAAGAAAAGCTAAGCATGTAGACAAGAGGTGACAAGAAGATTTCTGTCTAGCAACTAGACAATGTTTCATGCCAATTCTCCAGAACAACCTACAAGAGAAATGTGGCAACAAACACACATCAAGGCAAAGAAACATTATTGTTTTGTTTTTGTTCTTTTTTGGTACCAGGGATGGAACCTGGGTCTTTACACTTGTGAGGCAGGCGTAGCACCAACATTAAATTGTTAAAAAACAAAACAAACAAAACAAACCAAAACAAAAAAACAGTGACTTTTTATATTCCTACCACTTACCAAAGGAAAACTCAGCTGACTTTATGCCACATAGCATTATGAATCAATTTTTTTCAACATAAAAGTTGATTCAATATCTCCATCTTAAAACTCTATCATTGTGACATTTGTTATATACTAAAAGACCCAATCACTTCCCTTTCTGCAAATATCACAGAGAAGCCAGATAACAAATGAAGGTTGTACTCTGTAACAAGAAGAGACTAGAGAGTAAATCAGAGCAAAACACTTACAAATCAAGAGGGTAGAAGAAAAGCACTGGGAGAGATTAAATGCACAAAGAACAATAATAGGAAAGAAATCTCCTGTGAAAAGAAGCAGTTGATGTTAATGGAGACCAAAATGAATTAGATCTTCAGTGACTGAGCTCAAGACGAGATAATTTTATAAAGTTTATAGAAAGTCACTTGAAAATTACACAACTTGTTGCAGTCTATCTTCAGAGACAAGGAAAATAAAAGTTCTCCATGAGGGAGCTGATCAGAAAACACGTTTATAAACCCAACTGATGATTAACTAGAATATTATCCTTAGTTCTCATTTGGACAGAAAAGTCACTCGAGAACTGACGATGCCTGTTGAGTTTCGGGGAAAGATTCTGACACAGAAATAGATGAAAATAAAAAAATTTTAAAACACAGAGGGGTGTTGGAGCGTACAAGAAATACAGAAATGTGGTACAGGAGTCAAGCCCTCAGCAGAACATGGTGCAGGGAGAGCACAGGTGAGCAAATTCTGCTTGGCGAGAACAGGGCTCAGGAGTGCATTCAGCAGCAGTTGCTGGGTATTGGGTACAGAAAGCGAACTCTGATTTAAGTGAAGGGAATGAGTTAGCTTACACTTGGGAGGGGGCTGAAACACCTGCCTTCTCTCTCAAGTCTGAGCAAGTACTAGAGGCACCTGGAGGCCTGAGGATCAGCATAACAAGAGTCCCAGAAATGCGGCTGAGCCAAACACATCTTGGGAACCTGTGTGTCACAGGGAAGCTGGTTTGGAGGAGTGAAGCTCCCAGACAAGTGAGGCTGCATTATGCAGCTTTGCTCCTGGATCTCACACAGGCTTTCCCAAGGTATGTGGGTACCCAGCCTCCTGGGGCACACTGTTTGTAGATGGCCCTTTCCGCGGGGAACCTCTGAAGAGTCGAGGCTTCCGGCCAAGGGGTCATGTACAGAACGATGGCGTTAAATTCGATGTCCTCAACGAGATGACAGGAAATGGGAAAAGCCCTTAAAAGTAGACAAGAGAAGGAGTCCGGAGAAAGCACAACGGGCAAAGAGTAACAGGACTATATGGTTACCACAGGCCACGATAAAGCTCACTTCTGCATCAAGATGTTAATATCCTTACAAGCATATCACTCGTCTATGCGCAGAGGAAGGTCTCTCACACAATCTGTGGCAAAGGGTCAATTTTCTAAATATTCCCTCATAGTCACTGACTGATACTCTTACAAAGTACAGTAATACGAATTATTGAAAACTCAATCTTCCATTTGAATGGCATGGTAATGGCAATTTATGATAAAAATCTAAACACTTATCTTCAGCTTCTGTACTTATCATAAATCTAAAACAAACTACTCATGGACTGGCACTGGGTAACACATTGTTGGCATCAGTCAATACCACATTTGGGGAGCATTGTCCTAGACCATGGTGGGGAAAGGAGATCTAAGTTACATAGACTCAATTCACAGGAAAATTAGTGAACAAATCTATGTTCCAATGAAACTCTACTTACAAAAACAGGCACATTTGCCTGCAGAACATAATTTGCCTACAAGGCCAGAGACCAAGGTTTCACAAACTCTGACATGTGGAGGAACCACTTGGGATTCTTGAGAAAACTCTCAGAATCTGCAATTTCTAGAGAAATCTGCATTTGTAGAGAAATTTGCATTTCTCTCAAGCTGGGATAAACACAAATTGTCCCACAGCTCCCATTCTGAGTAGTAAGGTTCCATAGATGATTCCTGAGAACATAGACCTAGCACACACCTTTCAATAGAAAAGATACTTCAGTAAGGATCTTTACTGAGCTTTAAACAGACTGCAGAGTAGACTACACCTGTGTTCCTCAGTTATAAAGAGATAAATACAATAAAAGTGAATGAATGGATGAGGACAGCTCTACTGGAACCAGTAACATTAAACATTGGATAATTCAATGCTTTCTTGATTAGCCTAGACTTGACAGACAGGTGGTGATCCGAAATGTTTGCTGACTGCTGGCAGGATGCAGCACCACGCTATGTCAACTAGAGCACACAAAGCATGTCTAGGATGACGGTGGGGCATTGACTGCTGTCCCCAGTGTCGTGCATCATTTGATAAAGGGTACAACTGTTAATGGGTAGCCCTCCTATGGTTGTACCTCTGTGGAAGAGCTGAATCACAGAACACGTTCCTTTAATATGAGTTTTTCTTCATTTTTCCTTACTTTTATATGTTTTACTTTTGATACTTTTACCCTTCTCATCTGAATATAAAATACCTCTTTTCATTGGAATTTGGCTAACAAGGGTAGCATCTAAATTAACTTATCTAGTGATTTGGCTTAATGGAGAATCAGCTCCACTTCCAAAACCTGACCACAAGTCTTAAAACACAGACAAGTATCAGAAACCATCACCTAAGTACATTACACAGTGGGCAGTTCTTCTACCTGCTACACAAATTCCAACAGTCTTAGGACACAGTGACATACTGAGCTTTCTAAGTCACTTCCATCTCTGGGAGAAATGTACTGCTTGAGATGAGCAAGCAAGCAGAGTCTAGAATGTCAAGGGTTAAAGCTCCAAGAGGATTATCTATTCGCTGTTTATGATCCTACAACCTCTGAGTATCAGAGCAGGCACCTAAATGTTTGTTTAAAAAGACTCTACTGAGTTCTAATTGCAAAAAAGGGATGTGTCAAGAATGCCTACAGATAACGATTAATGAAAGAACAGATAAGCTGAAGAAAAATAATTAACTTGGATTTGTGCCAGGTGGCCCTCAGGAATACTAATTTGTATGTTCGATGTGCTCCATTTCACAAAACCTCAAGGGTGGTAAAAGAGCATCCTTGGGAGAGGGTGCTGCATGTGCAGATAAAATATCCAGGCAAGTTCAGAGAGGTCCTCTGACTGCGAGGGAGATGCCACCCAAATTAGAGTAAAGCTGCAGCATCAACTGTTCAAACAGACAAACCTTTTTCTTTCTCTCTAGAAGTCTGTTAATAAAGTAAGCCACAATGCTGTATTGTTAGGACAAGCTGGTGCAGAAATAATAAAAGAAATGGGAGAGGAGGGCAGCTCCCAAGGGCAGTAAACGCTGGACAGACTGTCTCAAGGGTAGCATTCATGTCATGACCACGAACCCCAAGTTCAAATCACGGAAGAGCTGTGACATTTCTGCAAGGTAGACTACCAGAAATCTGCTCAAACAAACCTCTCAGAGATAATAAACTTCTACACTCTCAAGCCCCCTTTTACTTTTGTTTTCCAACCTAGCAAGTACAACACTGCCACTTAATGCCCAGCATCAGCTCTCACGCTGTGTATCTGTTTACTTGTTAGCTCACTCAGCTCAGCTGGTCTCTCCCGAGATGGGAGCCCAAGCAGAGCAACACCCTATTTCACTCGTGGCTTTTCCCTTGGCGTCCAACAGTGCTCAGCATGCGCACACAGTTCACATATTCCTGTTGGCCGATGATTCTGAACGGGTATGTGCAGTTTAGTCATCCTGCGATCTGGAGGACTCCTCTTGATTTCCAGCATGCTGGGGACCCCTGCTACCCCAGAAGAGTCAGTCTTAACGAAAACCGAACCTTGGCCTCATGGTGGACACCTGATTTGTTCCCATGACTGAGTTCCTGCCTTACTTACTTGCCTAGTATGGAGTCTCCCTAGAAACATGCTTCTGCATGCAATGAATGAGCTTGACCCCTGCACCCAACCAGGAGATGAGGGTGTAATTTTTTTAGACTACTTGTTAAGAGGATTTTTAAAGGCTATTTGGGAATTTCTTCCTATGCTATTGCTTCTTGTTATCTGTCAACATGCTGCTTTCAGGTAAGGCCCTTGTACTTTACACTTCTGCCTGCATAACTATAATTTGCACACACTGCCTCTGCCTGGTAAACAGGACCTCATCTTATCTTTGTTAAAAACATCCTTCCCTCCCTTGCTTGCTTGACCTTGAAGGGAAAGGCTAGTTACAGACTATGCTCCCTCCCAGGCTGTCCCATGACATTACGGAGTCTTGCCTGACACACAGTACTGGCTTCCAGCCTGGGAAAGGAATTGTTTCAGCAGGAAGGCTTATTAACTCATGATGCCTCTCTTCCTGGATGAGAACATCCAGCTAGATGACTGATGTGGCAAGAAGGAAATATGGACTGACAATACAAGTTGTTTAGAAAAAACATTTTAGGGAGTAATAAGACAGAAGGAAGTGTACAGCAAGAGTGGAATCACCCAAAAGATAAGCGAGTGGAGAAAAACTTAAGAAAGAACTGTACCTTAAACTATTTTTTAAAGAATATAGAATAAATTAAAAGTCTACTCATAAGGCTTCAAGAAGAATTTAAGAGGGGGCAAAGAAAGTAATATTTATAAACAAATTTAAAGAATTTAGAAAGTAAGGGAATACAAGAGATAATTAAGCTGTGAGTACTATAAATTGTAAATATTACACGGAAAAGAAAAGGGAGATCAGCATAAATTACTACTAAAGTGACATCGATGAGGGTTAAAGCCGTTAAAATGACACATCTCAGAAGTACATATGAAACATCTTGCTGCTTTACGAAGACAAAATGTTTCTAAAGCTAAGAAGGGAAAAGAAAAAATAAGAGAAAAGGAAAAAAGTAGAAACAAAGTCTCTGTAAACAGGGAAGGTAGAGGGGGTGAAGAGAGGGCTGGGGAATTGGGAAAAAATAAGAACCAAGATCTACCATGTAAAGGTACAAGATCCCAATGATGAGTGTGCCTAAAATGTAACAATAAAGAAAAAAGCAGAGGAAAAAAAAAAGTAAAAAATGTTTGGTGAGAATTCATATAAAAACAATTTATGTTGATTCATTTCAGAATCCTAGCAAAAGAAAGCATGGAAAAATAAAGGTTTCTCTTCACTCTCTCCTCACTCCACTGAACTGAACTGATACCTGAACAATCAGGAAGGAGCCCTAGGCCAAGTTTTCTCATGTATTTACAGGTAGGGCTTTTGGAAGGTGATTGGGTCTTGGAGGTTCTATACTCATAAGTGGCTTAAACCACTGATGAGTTCACAGTCTAATATGCTTTTAGGAGGTGGGGCCCTCTTGGAAGAGGCAGGTCACTGGTGCTGTGTCTCACTCTGGCTCTTCCCTGTCTTTCTGTTTTCAGGTTGCCATAGATTGAGCAGCTTTCCTCCTCCAGGCCTTTCTGCCATGACATTTCTGCCTTGGAGCCAGCTGACCATGGACGGAGCCCTCTGCAACTGGGAGTTTAAATTAATCTCTCTTCCTTAGGTTGTGTCAGGGATTTTGTCACAGAGATAAGAAAAGCTATAATAAGAGCCACCTCTGAAATTCTTAGGTCAACATCTAGACAACTCTGAGTGGGTATATCATATATTAATGAACAACTCACTATAAATTCTGATATAACTAAAACAAACTCAAATAAATAGGCCATTGAGAGACATGCATAAAAGATTCAAGTATCCACTTTGTCTGTATCTAGCTTTGTCCTAGATTATAACGCTTTTTTAAATTGTTACTGAAATAGTAAGAACCATGATGCTTTTCATAGTTGTCTCTACTGCATTTGAGGATTAACTCTACTGTACTCGGCTGTAAGAAATTTTAGTTGTCAGTTTTCTTTAAATAACATTTTAAATCACAAGTTGCCTTTAAACTGGCTGGTATTTAATATGGCTAACAACAATGATGGTCACAGAGACCAATCAACAATAATATTGCTAATATGTTTATCATGTAATAATACATAATCCTGATAGAAAATCCCAACAAAATTATAACAGTGGTTGTATTATGGAAATAAAATCAGAAACATTTTATCTCATATGTTTAGCAGGAATTGTGAATCTACAAAAGATGATGATATTCAAATATATAAACATACATATATGTATGAAGTAAAGGGATGAAAATTTACAAGAAAATCATGCTTAATTGAAAAGTAAGAAACCATGTAAAATTCCCTCAAACTTCATTCATTGAATCCAAAGGTATGAGGAGATGTCTGGAAGCATGAAGGGCACATTCATAAGCTGTCACAATCAAATCTTTCTTTTTGAGAACCAAATGAACATAAACCATCAAAGGAGAAGATTTTTCATTTTGCATTCAGGCTCAAAGTTCCTATCTTTTTATAAAAAGAGAAGAAAATGGAATCTCTGTATCATAATATCTCTGAAGGCTACAAACCCTTATCCGAACACTGCACAGGCAGTGTCATTATCCACAGTAAATATGATTTATCCACGCACAGATGCTCAGTTAAGTGAATGCGGCATCATTGCTCTTAGGTGCAATACAGGGCCAGGTTCTTCGGAGTGTCTGGTCATGTGTTTGTCAATTCATCATTTCATGACCTTGTTCTACGTGTTTCAGTGTAAGCATACTTTATACATTTTGTTACCTCCTAACACTGCACTCAAACCAACAGAACTAGAACCCATGCCTGCATGCAGCTTCTCCGTCACCTGTATTTTCTCTGTAACACACCATCGTGACATTCTTCTGCTCAGGAACACTAGCCTGCACTTCAGCACTATGCTTGTCTGCCAACAATGAAATCACAATACTCATGCACAGACGAAAATGTGGGAAATAAGGCACTACAGAGACTGTGAAGATGGACATTTGTTTACACTAACAAAGTGGGACAAGAAGGTAGAAATCTGCCTTATTAATCTCTGCAGGGAAAGTGTGCCTAGGTAGAATTTTTCACCACTCTATGCACTTTTCTGAATGACCTTGACAGTGCCATGGAGTTATAAATAACTTCTGGAGTTACAAATAAATTATATCACACAGACAACTTTTTAAACAAGGAATCAGGGACTAGATATACTAAGGACACTAGGAGAAAAAAATTCGTTACCTTACTATGAAATTGAAATTCTTTCAATACTTCTAAAAACACTCCTTGGAAAGAACAAAGAATCTTATTACTAACTAGAAGAACGTGCCATTTCAAATTGCAATATTCATCATGCCTCAAATCAGATTCAGAGAAATGTTCCTTTAGTGGAAAGAGCTGGAAAGAATACCATCTTCTGTCTTGAGATTCTAAAACAGTATCCTGGTTCATTCAAAAAAATTAAATTAATAAAGGTTTCATAAGAAACTGAAAATAATTACAAAAATAATGTGCACGAAGTGTCTCAATATATGCTACACGAAATAGTACTTCAGGCACACAAAATCTATTATGAGACATCAAACGTTTGCCTAAAAGGCAAGAAACTGTGACGAAGGAGTGACAACACATATAAAAATGGCCTGTTCCTTCAAGCCTGCACCCTCCCTGTACTAAAAATCATAGGGAAAGGAATGATGTAACACCGAACTCTCACTCAGAAGTAGACCAATGACATGAACAGGAAGCTCATAAAAGAAGCAATAAAAATGCAGAATAAAAGAAAAATAATCACTTTGGCAAAGAGTAAGAGTAATGATGGCCCATAATAATGATGAAAACTGGGACATTCTTCTTGTTGGTGACAGCCCTCTATAGTCCTCCACTAGCATTGAGATAATTCACAAGTGTGGAAACTTTGATATCGTATGTGCTTTGTAACTCCTGTCTTTAGAAATTTATCTAACATGAGTAATCTAAACTGTATGTGAAGTTATGAGTAAAAAGAGCTTTGCAAAGTTACAAAACAAACTCAGTTAAATTGTATATCCACACAGGCTACTGAAAATCTAGGAGAGAACTATACAAGGACAGAAAAAAACATAAATTGAAAAAAAAAAGCTCTATAATATTGTTAATTATGTGATACTAGTTCTCTCAAAATTCTGTATTCATTTTTCAAGATACATATGTAATTTGATCCACTTTTATATACTTTTCTATATTTCTATTCTAATTTAATAATTATAGAAAAGGAGATTATTATTTATAAAATATTCTGAAACAAAGAGGAAAATGACTATTCAGCAAATCACTGAAGCAAACCAATTTCTCAAGATGAGCCAGATGGGCATGTTGTTCATTTCAGAACAAGACAATCTTTCCTAATTCCTAATTCCCTGGCAGTGACCGAAGCATGAGGCACAGTTATCTTCAGCTCTGAATCCATGAGGGCTCACCTCAATGGACCACAACCAACCTTCAGGGGATAGTAGAGAATCAGAGATTTTTAGTCACTAGCGTGTCTGAAACACAGGTTTCTAGCCTTATTCTTTAACACCTCAAAAATGAAACAGTGAACTTTTCATATGTCTTGCCATTCTACTATCCATAAAATTCAGAATTCCTGACATGTTCCTGGCCACGACTTAATTGTCTTGCCAGAAAATGCTCTATTTTCTAATGGCTGCTTTCAACCATTTTTGTTCTCAATTCAATAACACTTTAAAAACTCCAAACCTTAGCTTTTCTATTAATAATGTATTTCCATTCCATTTGACAGTATAATTTGATTAGAGGGCCATTTCTCTTTTAACAGTCTACAAAGGCTTCTTGAATATATGCTTCATAATCAATTACTGAGCAGGTGGGACTAATGACAAAGTCTGTCAAATTCTTTAAATCACGTATGCTGAAACAAAATAAGGCTTATTTAGATCTGACTTTTGTGAAGCAGAGTAGAGAGCACAACCTTATTTTTTATTGTTTCTGAAAGTATGTCAGCAAGGAGGATGAAAATAGATTTAGAGTATTTCATTAGGAATGTTTTGAAAATGCAGTAGCTATCAGACACACCAATTGTGTGTGAGATAGCAATCAAATGCTAGGACTTAGCTATTATTGGTAAGTATTGACAGGTAATGTGGAACAAGTATGAGATGGGCATGAGGAGCTACCCATTCTTGGAAATTTAAATCAACTGGACATCTGGAAAAGAAATACAAAATCTACACCTACAAATTCACAGCAGCAGGGAAACCAGTTCAATAAGTGAAGGACAAGAGGCCAAAGATGGCAGGTTTTCCATTCTCTGGCTGACACAAAGTGGTGTCCATTCCTTCCCATCTGACCACTACACATGGGATACATGTAGTGAAATATCATAATGTACCTATAAATATGTGATTATACGTATCAATTAAAAATGAAAACATGCTTTAAGATAAAAAAGGCTCTTCTAAATGGAAGAGGAGACTAATGAATGTGTTACAAATTCATACTCATGGAATCAGTTTTATTCTTCTTAGACTAGATTATCAGGTAAACTATTGTGAAAAAGAATGGCTGCCTGGATTTCTAATTTTTTTCAACTCTATATGAAATTAAAATGTTTTTTCAAGCAGGCCTGTAGGATGAAGAATGTGAGGTAGGGAAGTGGTGGAGGACGTTCTCGGTCAACTGCATCGCAATGTGTAGGGGACTGTGTGGAGAAGGAATATCCCAACCGGGGTAATACCTGTCTGGAGAATGGATCTTTCTTACTGAACTTTACAGGCTGTGCAGTGTGCAGTAAGTGGGATTTTATGCTGATCACAAACAAATCCCTAAAAGAGGAAGATGGAGAAGAAACAGTCACCTATGATCATCTGTGTAAGAACTGTCATCATGCAGTGGCCGGGCATGAGTATACATTCAGTACCGTGGATGAATTCCAGGAGTATACCATGCTGTGTCTGTTATGTGGCATAGCTGAAGATACTGTCAGTATTCTCCCTGATGACCCTCAGCAAATGACTCTGCTATTCTAAGATTTCTCCACTTCTGTTGTGACTCTTTTGTGTTGGTTTACCAATACAGCAAGCCTGATGGTTTGTCTCAAAAAAAGAATGTGAGGTAGTCATTTCAAAAATAATGCTCTTGTTCTATAAAGTGTTGACACTACACTTGAAAATAAACTCCTACAAGAACTCCATCACTCTAGAAAGTAAATATTCATTGCAGACCAGATATTTCAGAGAATAAATGCAAGATATAGAAAAATGAGTTCTGCTTTGTTAAAATATATTAAAACAGAGGATGGACCTGAAGAACTTCTGGCCACACAAAGCCAGTGAGGCCACACTAGAGACCTAAATCTTGTCTAAATTCCGTAACTTGAACTAAAGCCACCAAATAATTTACCACTTTATAGGTAGGAATTTCTATCAGAATAGACCAAGTAAGGGAACTGTATGACTGTCATCAAATATTTTCTTTACTGTACTTCAGCATTTGTATTTGAAAAACGTTCTCTTTACATTCCTTCAGTGGAGCCCCAGATTCTGGTCTATAGCTGCCTAATTCATGAACTGCTGTTTGTTCAAATAAACTTTAAAATGTGAAGTACTTCAATTTGCCTTGAAATAGCTCCATGCTTCTTCTTCTTCTTCTTCTTTTTTTTTTTTTTTTTATATAACAGGGATTGAACTTAAGACCTTGCGCTTGCGAGGCAGGTCGCGGCACCACTGAGCTAAATCCCCAGCTCCATGCTTCTGATATAAGTAAGAATTCAGGTGAAAAGATATTCTGGTTTGTATGTAAATGTCCTCTAAATGTGCAATAATTTAAAAATGAGCTATATAGAACATAAGAACCCCAAAATACATTAAAGCAAAGTATTATTTGCATAAACCTCATACTATAAACATGGCCTATGATTTTACTTTTCTGGTTTCAACTTCTATAGGCCCTGAAGCATTTTACCACAGCACTATAAAGGCTAACCTCTTCTCCAATTTAAATTAAATGATATTTTGTGCTTCTTTCAAGCTTGAATTCAATTCCCCTTTTATTAAATTGTATTTTCTCAGTTGTCTGTTTAGGGAATTATTTCAAGAGACTGAATCATTTTAACTTTCCATCAATTTTAGAACAATACATGCAGTTAACATCGAACATCAGTGAACCTGTTCCAGACACCTGCCATTTCTGTGAATGTACATTTAATCTAAATCTAAGTTTTAGATAATTAAGTACTTGATATTTTAGACTTGTGCTACTATAAAATGTTTCAAAGAAGAAGAAATAAAGAACTGCTGTATGGGAAAAACTAAAAGTGTAAAATAAGATCCAAACTGTATAATTGACAATGTGAAATAGGAAGAAAAGGGCTGAAGGTATAAGGGAAGTGGGAGGGGTAGGGGAAAGAAAATAAAAGAAAAAATATGAGAAAATGAAAAACGGAAACAAAGTCTTTGTAAATAGGGAACAGTGGAGGGGGTTAAGGGAGGGCAGGGATAAGGGGAAAAAATGAGAACCAAGATCTGTCATGTAAAGGTACAAGATCCCAAAGATAAATGTGACTGTACTGTATACTTAACAAGTACCAATAAACTCAATGTGAGAGAGAGAGAGAGAACAAAAAAAAAAGAAACAGAACTGCTGTATGTGAAGTGATTAACTATGGTAATTACCTCGATTGTAGTAGTCTCTTCATAACATGCATGTATCGCTAAACATGGTTAATATACCTTAAATATATCAACTATACTCAATGAAAAAGTGCAAAAAATATTAAACACTTAACAAAAGATAACACAAACTGTAGTTTTCATTATGTGTTAAAAATGTTTGCCAAGCTGACAATGCTTTGGGATATTATTTTCATGTCTTCACCAATGAGTCGACAGAATTTTAAAGAGCATATCCAAATGACTAATGAATACATGAATACATGAAATATGCTCAACCTCATTAATTATGAAGGAAAGGCAGTAAAACACAATGAGATACTGCCACACACTTACTAGGATGACTAAGATTAAACAGAGTGACCCACACAAGAACTGAAGTGAAGTGAAAAGCAGCAAGCACAAATGAGAAGACAGTATATGATTCCAATTATATTAAGTTAAAAACAGATATAAACAAACTGATGTTATTCAAAATTAGGTCAGTGGTTGCCTTTGGGAAGAAAGTGGAAGGATGTGGCAAAATCTAGAAGGCTGGTCTTTCTCTATTTATTGAACTAACTGAAAGTTACCTGGGTATGTTCACTACATAATGCTGTTCTGTATGTGCATTACATGGAAAAGGTTCTTAAATTTTAAAAATGATACAGTCATTTAAAACTATTGTCCCTTTAAATGGGAAAATTGTGCATAAAAGTGACTCACTTCACTAACTAAACAACCCACTGAGGAGGATACAACGATGGCCAGTTTGTAAATGAGGGGAAAGTAAGGCACATACAAGTTAAATAACATGCTCAGGGTACTACAACCCTAAGCGGTAACGACAGGATTAAACCCATAAAGTCAGGCTCTGGAGCCTTATTGAGAACCCTTTCATCCTTACAATAATTTGGTGCTTAGGTAGCATATTTCTTTATGGGCATCTAACAGGCTCTAAAAACATGACTTTAAGTTGGATGTAAACCAGGAAGTCCAGTCAAATCCAGCAGGGTACCTTCCCTAATACCACTCATGTACTATTGCTTTTCAAAATCAGGCTGCCAAAAGCCAACAGATTTGCTTTGACTTTAGCTAACAGAGTAGAGTATTGGTGGGATGCATGCCAACTGGCCCCCTTTTTTATTTAGGTGCACAAGATGTTTTACATAGTCTGAAGTTTTTGTACTAATTTTGTACACCTCTGGAATTCTAAGCTCAAAATTAAAGACGAAAGCCCAAGCATAACTTAAAAAAACAAAAGCCCAAGGATAAGAGTCTCTGTAATGTTTTTCTTTTAAGTGTGTTCAAATTCTTAACAGACTCCTCTAACTGTACTTGTATTTCTTATTTTATCCCATTATAACTCCCTGCTAGTTTAAGAGTTTAGAATTCTGTAAATCAAAATGAAGTAGATAAGATGTTCTACCAGCAGCAGAACAAAATTTATTATCTTTCTCTCTTATCAAGCCCAGCTGGAAAATGAAAGAAATATGAAATATTTAATGATATACTTCATGTGAATCCTGTTTAGTAAGTGAGCTATTTTGAAACGACCCTCATTTTAGGGTGGTATACAAAAACTAAAGATATTTCTGGCAGATTCAAATGAAAATCTGTATTTGGGCTTCACAGGCATTCAAAAGTAACACAAATTTGAGCTCTTTGATTAACATGAGTGGAAACATGTCAGTATGAAATATTATTCTTGAATGATGCTGTTTATTACCTGATCAACAGAATTATGTTCTATATATGACAAACAAAGAGCTATTATCAGTTGATTTAAGTTTACCACTAACAGGCCTTTTGTAATTTTGAGTTTCAGTGTATTCAACTAATTCTTATCTCTAACAAGAAAATCAATGCCTTTGACATAATTAGCTTTGGGCTCTTGGGAAACTACTACCTCTGTCAGGTAGACAGGGTTCTAGTTAATATAATTACTGCCAGAACTACAAGCAGTTTCTGTGCAAAACCAAATCAACTCATCTGTACTATTTTTTAGACTCTGTGCTTTGAATTGTGTGAAACAATGCCAGAGTTGAAAATACCCATTATATTTCCATGCTTTTTAAATGGCTAAGAAATTTCAAGATCTGGGAAATGTACTGTGAGATGAGCTATGCATTCATTTTCCTGATATAGCATAAGAAAAATAACTCCCACATACCTTTATCTACCCAAATGACAGCCAATCGCAAAAAAGTTTAAATATTCTTAGCACTAAAAAATATTCTATAAAGTAAAGCCAAAATTTCTGAAGTGGATATTTAAAAAACAATAACAAAAATGGCTCTGCAAGTGATTTTTCATTCCACTGCAGCTTGTACTTTTGCAGAATTAAAATTCAAGATCAACCACTAAGAAAAGATATTTCAAAGAAAACCCTAGGACTGTCCTGGTAGATTCAATCCCTTGGTGGCTCTCTATTACTGGCAGTGAATTTCGCCAGATGCTAAAAGTTAAGTATTTTCATTGCAGGCACCTGTCCTGTGGGTAGTTTGTAGTACAAACAGCCAGAGAAGCTATGTGTCATGTCCATAATATTTACAGACTTCAGTTAGTTTGGGAATCTCTGGGAGGAAAATGATTCTTCCCTTAGAGGAAAGTAGGAAGAAAGGATAAATGAATTAATGATGTGGGAGCAATTGATAATGGTTCTATCTAATGGATGGAATGTGCTTATACAAAGAAAAAAATCTTCTGCAAATACATTTTTTTCATGGCTGAAGTAAGTAGCCAATAATACACTACCACTTATTTTGTAAATCAGAATAAAAGAACATAAACATAGGTAAGTCACATTTAGATAACCAAAACTCAAGAAAACTGGCATACTAACCAACACAAAACAAAATTTTATGCATGTGAAACAAAATAGACTGTCAGCATATTTACTAGTGAACAGCTTCCAAATTAAGACCAGACTATATTTGAGGGGTGGCAACTCTGGTATGATATATTCATTCATGACTTTCTGGACGATGATTCAGATTTTCCATGTCTTTAAATATTTTAGTAACCAAGAAAAGTTTTTATACAGGGTCTCATTGACTCTCAGAGTTTAGTATCAAATTGGTGTGGCACATGTCTGCCTCATAAGTATGTAAATAAAACTGAGAACCATGTACATCTTCTTTTTGAAAAACTGTAGATTTTTTTATATAATGTGCATAAACCTTGTCATCACAGACAACTGAGCAAATGGAATTGAAATGAAGCAAACAGGTATTGAACTTGGTCACTAAACTAATTGATCAAATATTTCTCACATGCTTTAATGTACCTAGCATGAGTATGGTAGTTACATCCTAGTTAAGAAAAAAAGATGTTTATGAAGCAACAATGGAAAATATGAAACTTACTACTTAGTGCATATGTTACAAACTGTAATGGTCAAAGATGAAAATTAAAAGGCATACAGAAGCAGGTGAGGCCATTATTCATTCTTGTATTATACACATTAATAGAGGATCCTAAAATCTACATTTTCTGGTTTGATAAGTAATACCTTTAGCATTGTTATGGAAGGAAGGTGAGGCTGAGTCCTCTTTAACTCAAGTAAACATAGGACTAGGGGAGTCAATGTAAAGTGCTCAAAATACATTCTTTCCAACCAATGCTTCATTGTTTGACACATTATATCTTTTTCATTTACTTCCACCTCCTAAGACTTTGTAAGCACAGCTTCTGAAATAAGATTTTCATGGCTGTTTACAAGCCTCTCACGCAAGATGAGGGTTGCAATCACCATGTACTACAAGAGCAGATGGCAGGATTTCCACCTAGGGCTGTAAAACACTTGCGTCAGTTTATTCATTCTCAGCAGTAGCACACAGGCAGCTCTCAATGTGAGAAATCAGAACACAGCCAATGACTCTACAAAGAGACTTTACCTTAGGATCCGAGGTGAGCAATTTGAATGCTTGATACACTTGAGATTCCTTTACACCGCCTCCTAGATCCAAGAAGTTGGCTGGTTTCCCACCGTTCAAGAAAATGATGTCACATGTGGCCATCGCCAGTCCTGCTCCATTCACTATAAAATGCAAATAGCACACATGGCAAGGTAAATTTAGCAGCAACAGAGGTTACATAAACATTCTCCCAGCCCAACGTTAGTGAGAGAGCCTTATTATTCCCAAGCAAATTTCTATCCTGTTTGGCATTCAGTTCAACCAGGTAAGTGCATATATTTTTATGATAAAGCATCGACGAAATGTGCATTCAAAGAATAAGCAAAAAATAAATGGAAATGAGAAAGATGTCTTGAGATGTTAAATCAGTCTAGGAAACAAAAAGAAGAGTTAAGGAACTAAACAATCTGTACTTGTAGTAAAGAGCAGGTTCTGGGTCTAGAAAGCCTAAGTTTAAGATAATTTGAAGTGGGAGAAAAAGGCTATGAGAAGTTGCTAGAACTTTGAGATATCGGTAAAGAGGAGAATTTAAACATTTTTTTTTTTTTTTGCTTGCTGAAACTATGCACCTTTGAATGAAGTATCCCTCTGGGATTGAACCACAGGATCCCACCTTCAATAGGTCTCCATACTATTTTGTATTTAGTGCAACTCTGCACATTTATATGATGTTATCCAGATAAACTAGGAAAACAAACCAATGATAGCACCAAAGTCAATATTCCTATCCCTCTCTTCCTCTTTAATGTATGAAATGTTTATTAGCAGACCAATTATGAAAATTAGAACCAAAAAATACCAACCTCGTTACAGTTTTTCTTAAATCAAATGAGGTTTAAAACTGAAATCCTTGTTTTCTAGAGCTAAGGTTTATTGACCAATTATACTTCATTTGCTTAATTATATAGAATTACTTTCCTCAACTTGGAAGGCCCAAAAAAACTCTCAGCACAGCAGAAATTCTCTAGGTTGAATTTCTCAGACAAACCTATGAACTGTGAGTAAATTAATTATGTTTAGACCAAATAAAATAAAAATTGCTTACACAAGATCTTAAAGCAATTTGAAACAACACGTGTTAATCGTAATTTCTGAAAATGTTACTTGGTCAAATCATGCATAGTTTGACACAGGCTACAAAGAATATGAATTTAATTTGTTCTAAACACATCATTTTATTTTTTTTCTTTCCCAATGCCTATGAATATTGAGAGTGCATTAGCACATCCACATCAGAATGATGTGTGTGATCTGGTACACTGTAGTTATTGCTCCACTATAAAGCAAGTGATTTTGGTATCACTTGAAATTGTATGTTATTTTCTATTGTATTGAACAACAAACTACTGGATGAGGTCTCTTCTGTTCTGAATAAATGATACTGTTGGCTTAATGAGTAACAAATCCTTTTAATTTTAATTCCACTAAGATGAAGACTTTAGTTTCGAGTGAATGAATTGTTCCTAGCAGAAATACAGTCTTACGCAATTAAGTCAGGAGCATATAAATCTCAGCATTATAAGCTGTGGACAATAACTGAAATTATATTGCCTCTACAGGCCCATTCTTATTTTGGCTGAATAAATCATTTTCACAAATTTATGATGAATATGATGGAATCAGTTGTTTTATTAATAAATCAGTGTAATGAATGAAGCATATTGTCATTAGAACTATAAAATCTGAAGTGTTAGTAAAATTATTAAGGTTTATATCCTCTTCTCCTTCATCTGAAAAAGGAATTCTGTTTTAAACCCAAATTTCACAATAGTTCCTATCCCATTACCACTGACTTGGGTGGTAAAGATTCTGAGACTTACTAAGCAAAGTTTAACAGATGTGTTAAATCAGTAGTTGTCAACTGGGGTAATTCTCAGTACCACAGAAATTTGGAGACATGTTTTATTTTCAAAACTGGTGGCTGTTATAGCACCCAGAGGCCAGGAATACTACTAAATATAATGTCTAGCACAGCCTCCTACAGCAAAGGATTATCCCACTTAAAATCTCAATAGTACACCAGAGAAGAGAAACTGCTTTCAACCAGTGACCACTGATAAAATGAACTTTGAGAAGATACTAGACTATTTTCTAAAATCGTTCAGCTGCAAAAGTCTCATGTTTACTTGCTACTCTTAAACAGCATTTAGTAATCGTGTTGATGAATTCTGTAAAAACCCTCAATATAAATGCTTACCAAAGCAGGCAATGTTCCCATCTAGTCCTATGTATTTTAGATCATATCTGGCAGCTTCATTTTCAATGGGTTCATTTTCTGATTTGTCATCCATAGCGAATATCTCCTTTTGTCGGAATTCAGCATTGTCATCAAAGTTTATCTTGGCATCAAAACAGACAACTAAATAAACAAAAAAGCAAGAGGAACACAGCTGAATATATCTTTTAATTAAATTCTGCAGGGTGGCAGGCACAGGGGAAAGGCGAGATATTTAACTCTCATGTTATAGGCAGGAGAAACTGTTGTGGTTTTCTTGACCTTTGAACTTCAGGATTAGTGAGGCTAACACGGCTCCTATTCTCAAGGGACTTATATTCTAATAGACAGCATAGTAATTTATCTCTTTTGGCTTGTGTTCACAATAATAGCATTGGAAGGTGTCATTAGCCACGCTAAAAGCCACAGATTGGCATAACATATAGCTTTGATTAGCTGTTACCATATTCCTTACTTTTACTATTTAACTGTTGATTATTGCTTTTCCCTTCTATGTAAAAGAGACATTAACACGAATCCTTCTATCCTTTTCTGTCCTTCTGACACTGCAAAGTGAAATTTTAGCACCGTGTCCTCAATATTTTGAAGACAGTGGAAAGAATTCTGAGCCAGAATCCACTTATTTTTAAAATCCCGAACTCTGCAACTTGTCTTATTTAAAATATTTTTAAAATAAAGTTTTAAGGGCCGGGGATTTAGTTCAGTGACGCTGCCTCCTGCCTTGCAAGCAGAAGGTCCTGAGTTCCATGTCCGGTAAACAAAGAACAAAAAAAAGCTTTAACACTTTAATATACTTAAGATGTACAACATGTTTGGATACACATATTTTGGAAGCATTCCTATAGTGAAACAAATCAACATTATTACCTGCTTCTCAGTTTGTTTTCTTGTCCTTTTTCTTTTTCTCAGCCTCCCTCCCTCCCTTGAGTACTCGAAATCTATCCTTTCAAAGATCTTCAATATGCATACTAATTCTGTAACCTTGTTAAAAACAAAACACTAGTTTGTCTATGGGCTTTGTTTGTAATTTTTATTTTATAACAATGAGAATAAATCCCTAATTTATTGATTTACATGATTAGGAATTTGCTAAAATTATAGCCATTTCTTCAATTTGTACAGATCTACCTTATGATTCCTTTGATTCAAATTGTAAAATACTAAGAGACCAAGACTTCTTGGTTAGATGAGAAGGTACCAGGCACCGAGAGAGCTATGGTGCCCACCCATGCTGCTGGTGAGATTCCTAACATTTACTGGGAGCAAACACATTCCATGACAGGGAGGGACTGGGCACCACCCTGGATTTAAAGGAGCACTTCTTCAGGGGTAAAAGAAATGACAGCAAGGGCAGAGTGGTTATACTGATTTTATATATATATATAGACAGATAGATAGATAGATAGATAGATAGATAGATAGATAGATAGGTAGGTTCCAGTGCACCTATGTTCTCCCTCAAAATAGAAACTGGGGCTCTCATGCCATGCCATGGTGATATTCCTTTATTTGACTTGGGACATTGATAGGCAGGCATTTTTGATCAAGATTTACTAAGGTTATCCCTCCAGCATTGTTGACAGGTACTAAACCCTAGAAACAGAAACAATCACCTTGAATTAATGGCTCACTGAAAAGTAATGGCCATAATCTGCTAATTCTACTTGCTTCCTAGAAAAAGAAAACACTTGCATTCCTGTCTAGGCAGAATATTCTCTAAACATTTTCCTAAGAAAAGATTCAAACATTTTGCAATAAATCTGCATAGAACATTGATGTATTAACATTTAAGAAGACTTTGCATAAATACAAATCCAGATCACAAATTACTTTTAAACACTCACTGACTGACAAAAGAGAATCTTGTACCTAACTCAGTCTTAGCTTGAGTCCTTGGTCTTACCACAAAATGCCCAACCACTCTGCCCACACACCGTGAATACATGGAGTGAATAGGTAATTACTTTCCAGAATAATGAAATCATGATGATGGAGCCCTACAATTACCAAAGGAACTGACCAATGTTTTCTGCTTGCTACAATGGCATTTTCTCAGCAGTTAATGACCAGTATAATAATCAACAGAAAAACAGCTTCATTCCTGGCTTTCCACTAGGTTTATACGTACATTATAATTAATTTATTAGTAATTTTAGATCCTCCATTACTCACTGGCAAGAGCACTTGTAAATGACACCTTCAAAATGAATGGGCAAAGGCTATCAAATTGACTTTCTAAGTGAAGAGTTTCAAATAAAAGAATTCTTGGTCAAGATCAATAAACCAGTAAATCAAAATAGTTCCACGTTAATCTTTGCCCCTAACAAAGACTACAGTTACAAGCTGCTTGAGAGAGTGGATAATTCATGGATATGTATGCAAAGTTCAGAAAGCAGTCTCCACTAAATGCTTGCAAAACCCAATTTTCAAAAGATGCTTTCCTGCCATAAGATGTACATGCCAAAAACAGAAAGGAATTTGCTATTTGGTGGCACCATGAGAAAACCTGACAGTTAACGCAGAGTAGGAAGAGGGTAACTGTAGGAAAAGGGGATGTGTGTATCTATTATGGTTCCTTGCTAACTCTTGTCTCTCTGTAGAGAAAACTGAAAAACATAGGTCAATGTATGTAACTCTAAGAGCTTTGGGAAGATAAAAATATTGCACCAAAGTGAAGTTAAGGAAGGAGACTCAGGTGTTAAGAAAAGTGGTCCAGAATCAAACTATTATCTTCAAGGCCCCACTTTGTTAGAGGAGGGAAGAAGAAAAAGCACTTTTTAAGGATTTAGGGATTTTCTTAGATGCATTTTATCATAGTTACTTAATATTATAGTCTGTGATATTGCAATTTATAATAAAAATATTGACTTTAGTTTTCACCTTTGATTCTTCAGATAGAAATCCTAAAACTTGACACATGGTGAATCTTTAGCTCTAATACTTTGATTTCAATTGTGATTACTGACGAACTCTTAAACCCCTGGGAGACAGAATCTTTTGTTCTGATGAGGTCACTCTTGGTGGGCTTCTGAACGAGGGCTGATCAGCTGAGAGAAAAAGTTATGGTTAGAAGCTTAGAACTGCTGTCCACTAGGAAGTGAAGGGGGTCCTGACAATGAGTTAACAATAGATAATTTCTGTGTGACCAGGCCTCCATCAGAATCCCTGAACTGCAGTGTTCAAACAGGTTCTAGGATACTGAACACACGAAGGCACTCAATGGAAGGCTGGCTTGCCTGGAAAAGGCATAGAATTCCCCTGCCCCTTCTCATATAACTCATTTGGCCATTCATTTCTATCCTTTATGTATGTATGTATGTATGTATGTATTTATACATACTGGGTATTGAACTTGAGATGTTGCAATTGCGAGGCAGGTGGCGGCATCATTGAGCTAAATCCCTGGCTCCCTTTATTTTTTAAAATAAATTTTATTTTATTCCATTCTCCCCCTGAAGCTCCCTCCCCTCTATGTACAAAAGCTTTGTTTCCATTTTTTCCTATTTTCACTTTTTTTCTTGTGCCTTCCCTTTCCCCTTCCTCCTCCCTTGTTCCCCTTCTCATTCAAACACTTCCTTCTCATTTCCCAGCATTCATTATACATTTCAGTCCTTATATTCTTATTTCAGTTTCTCATACCTGAGAAACAGTGCAGTATTTAAACATGTGTCCCATATATTTCACTTTGGAGTATGTTCTCAAAGTTCATCCATTTAGCTATAAATGTCTGAAGCTCATATTTCTGTATAGCACAGCAGTACACTATTATATATTTAAAAATTTTTTTTTCTTCACCCAGTCGTTAGTTGATGGGTATTTGGGCTGTTTCCAAGATTTAGCTATTACAAACTGTGCCACTATAAACATAGGAGTGCAAATATTGCTGTGGTCTGATGCTTTTAATTCTTTGGGGAAGATACCAAGAAGAGGAATAGCTGGGTCAAATGGAAGCTCTAGCTTGAGTTTTTTGAGAAATCTCCACAATGATTTCCACAGTGGTTGCACCAGTCTGCATTCCAACAATGAAGGGTTCCTTTTTCCCCACAGCCGCTCCACCATTTTTTATTGGTTGATTTGTTGACAGCAGCCATTCTTTCTGGAGTGAGATGGAATCTCAACATTTTACAGATAATTAGTGATGTTGAACATTTTTTCATGTATTTATTTGTTGTTTTTAATTCTTCAACTGAGAAGTAGAAGTCTTCATTTCAGATGCCCACTTTTGGATTGGATCTTTAAATTTGTAGGTTCTGATTTTTTTGAGTTCTTTATATATTCTAGATAGTAGTCCTTCATCTGATGAATAGCTGATAAAATAATTTTTCCATGCTGTGGGTTGTCTCTTCACTCTGTTGGTGGTTTCTCATGCTGTGCAAAAGCTTTTCAATAGGATGAGGTCCCAGTTGTTCATGCTTTGTAGTATTTCTAATGCAGTCTAGGTTTTGTTCATGAGTCTTTGCCTACTCCTATGTCCTCAAGTGTTCTACCCATCCTCTCATCCAGCAGATTTATTGTTTCTGTTTTAATAAAACAGAACTGGACTCATTTTGATTTTAGGTCAGTGTGTGGTGAAATACATAGGTCAATTTTAAGCATGTAGAAAACCAGTTTTTCCAGCACCATTTATTAAAGAAGCTACTTTTTCTTCCAGTGAAGGTGTTTGGCTCCTTTTTCAAAGATAAGTATGCCTTGAGTATGTCTAGAGTTGTTTCTGCATCCTCTAGTCTGTTCTATTGATCCCCATGTTTGTCTGCCAGTACCATGCTGTTTTTAATCACAGTAGCTTTGTGGTATAATTTAAAGTCAGAGATTGTGATATTCCCTACCCTGCATTTGTTGCCCAAAACTGCCTTTATTATTCTAGGTCTTTTCTGGTTTCAAATGAGTTTTAGGATTGTTTTTTCTAATTCTGTGAAATATGCTGTTGCATTGAATCTGTATAACAATTTTAGAAGTATGGCCATTTTCACTATATTCGTTCTTCCTATCCAAGAAAAAGGGATATATTTCCATTGTCTGTTATCCTCTTCAATCTCCTTTTTCCGTGTACTGTAGTTTTCAATGTAGAGGTCTTTTATTTCCTTTGTTAGACTGATTCCTAGGTATTTAATTTTGGGGGGATG